GAATCAGAAAAAATCAGCTTGATTGTGGAGAAGCACTGAAAATCAGCTACAAAGGGTTATTCTTATGCACAGTGGGGAGGGAATTGCCGAGAGTATTCAGACTTACCATGCTGCTATAATTATTTTCTTTTAACAATTTTATTTATGTATTATTTAATTTTATTAATTTAATTTTTGCTGCACTGGGCCTTCATCGCTGTGCACAGGCTTTCTCTAGTTCCAGTGACCAGGGGCTGCTCTTCATCGCAGTGCACAGGCTTCTCATTGCAGTGGCTTATGTTGTGGAGTGCAGGCTCTTGGTGCACAGGCTTATGCTGCACGAGCTCAGTAATTGTGGCTCACGGGCTCAGTAGTTGTGGCTCACGGGCTCTAGGACACGGGCTCAGTAGTTGTGGCTCACGGGCTCAGTAGTTGTGGCTCACAGGCTCTAGGACACGGGCTCAGTACCTGTGGCTCATGGGCTCTAGGACACGGGCTCGGTAGTTGTGGCTCACGGGCTCTAGGACACGGGCTCGGTACTTGTGGCTCACGGGCTCTAGGACACGGGCTCGGTACTTGTGGCTCACGGGCTCTAGGACACGGGCTCGGTACTTGTGGCTCACAGCTCTAGGACACGGGCTCATTAGTTGTGGCTCACAGGCTCTAGGACACGGGCTCAGTAGTAGTGGCTCACAGGCTCTAGGCCACAGGTTCAGTAGTTGTGGCTCACAGGCTCTAGGACACGGGCTCAGTAGTTGTGGCTCACAGCTCTAGGACACGGGCTCAGTAGTTGTGGCTCACGGGCTGTAGGACACCGTGTCAGTAGTTGTGGCTCACAGGCTCTAGTACACGTGCTCAGTAGTTGTGGCTCATGGGCTCTAGAACACAGGCTCAGTAGTTGTGGCTCACAGGCTATAGGACACGGGCTCAGTAGTTGTGGCTCACGGGCTCAGTAGTTGTGGCTCACGGGCTCTAGGACACGAGCTCAGTAGTTGTGGCTCACGGGCTCTATGACATGGGCTCAGTACTTGTGGCTCACAGGCTCTAGGACACGAGCTCAGTAGTTGTGGCTCACAGGCTCTAGGCCACTGGCTCAGTAGTTTTGTCTCACAGGCTCTAGGCCACTGGCTCAGTAGTTGTGGCTCACAGGCTCTAGGACACGGGCTCAGTAGTTGTGGCTCACAGGCTTTAGGCCACTGGCTCAGTAGTTGTGGCTCACAGGCTGTAGGACACGGGCTCAGTAGTTGTGGCTCACAGGCTCTAGGACATGTGCTTCATAGTAGTGGTGCATGGGTTTAGTTCCTCCGTGGCATGTGGGATCTTCCTGCCTGGAGCAGGCATTGAACCCATGTCCCCTGTGTTGACAAGCAGATTCTTATCCATTGTACCACCTTGGAAGTCCCTACTGTAATTATTAATTACTTCTGGGCTTTTATCTCTAGCTAGACCTGTGGGAATAAGGAAGTATGTCCATCTTAAGAACTATAGCTTCTAAGGAGACTAAGCTCCTGATGAGGAAGGAAGACTCTAGCGACAGATAGACTGGCACGTGGAGAGACTGGAAACAGTGAGACTAGAGGCTGCTCAAGTTCAGCTACTCAAGTTGGACCCTAGATCCAGATACATTCATTCAGGGAATGAGTGTTCCCCCAGGTCCTATGTCCAGGACCAGGAATGGAACAATACCTGAGACAGTTCCCAAGGGTCTCACTCTAGTTGGGGACAATAAAAACTTGAGTCAGTACTAATCACAGTAGCACATAAGTACTTTGGGGTCGGAGCAGTGTGTACAGTCTCAGAGGAGCAAAAAGGTGAAGGGTTTATGTCAGAGCTGGTTGGTTGGGAAAGACTTATTTAAAGAAGGACTTGGAAAGATTTCCCTGGTGATCCTGTGGTTAAGAATCCACCTGCCAATGCAGGGGACATAGGTTCAATTCCTGGCCTGGGAGGATCTCACGTGCCATGGGGCAAGTAAGCCCGTGTACCACAATTACTGAGCCAGTACTCTTGAGCCCACACTCCACAACTAGAGAAGCCACCACAATGCGAAGCCCATACACTGCAACTAGAAGTTGACCCTGCTCGCCACAACTAGAGAAAGCCCGTGGGCAGCAATGAAGACCCAGCAAAACCAAAAATTAATTAATTTTTTAAAAAAGGGCTTGGAAGCTGAGACCTGAAGGATGGATGAGGAGTCAACTGCATAAAGGGCGTGGGGGACTGGAAGGTGAGAGAGAATGAGGTGCATTTAGGGGTGAGATCTGGGCTCTGTGCATAGTCCTGTAAGCCAGGAGCCCCAGAGCAATGGGAGCCATTGGGGTGTTTTAAGCAGCAAAGTGACACATTCAGGTCAGCGTTTACAACAGAGTCACGGCCACTGTACCCGACCAGAGGGCCCATAAGAGAAGCACCTTGACTTCTCTGCCCACCTCTCTTCCAGTCTCCCACCAGTGCCTCCCACTAGCCCAACCTGACTAGAGGCCAGTAGGCAGGGGAGCTGGGAGATGTGGTTCACAAGAGTAGCTCCTGTTACGCAGAGCAGGGCAGAGGGAGGCGGAGAGCGGATCTGAGAGCAAGTAGGCATGTGAGGCCCACAGTGTTCTACACGAGCCTTCTCTTCCTCGTGCAGTAAAGGCTCTGACAGTCCTGTACCCTCATGTAGCCTAGAGAATCTAGCCACGAGTTCAAGAACAGTTCAGGATAGAGTCAGACGTTGGAGGGCCTAGCTTCTTACACTTGTTGATTTCTAGTCGTAGTGTTGCTTCACTTCGACACCAACCCTTGTTTTGGGTAGAGTCTAGGAAGCTGAGGCCAAAGTGACAGCTTTGATTATGAGGCAAAGGTCAAGTTCCACAGGTACACATTACCTTACCCTCTTTTTGCCATCTAATAGACCTGGGCCATTTGTTACAGGGGAGACTAAGAAAGAGGGTCCAGCAAGGATCTAGCACATTCCCTCTTTCCCTGGAAAACCAGGGCAAGGTGCGTCCCCGGAAGCTGCTTGGAGGGACGGGGTCTCCGAGCCGGGCCACGTGCTGCTTCTGGCCGTCTTTGAAAAGAACCGGTGTGGTGGCTTTTGCTCGGAAAGTTCGTCCCATCCCAGGACCGTGTGTCTCTAAATTAAGCATGTGCACTGTCCGGGGTTTCCCACGAGTAAGTCTGTCCAGAAGCAGGCTGTCTGCAGGACGAGGATATGTGTGCCTGTAACATTCACTCAAAACCATGAGAACTGGCTTTTTTCTCTATTCCTAGTTACTCTCTCTTTGACAGGATGGTGACGTTGTAGCGCCGCTTATAACACCTCGGAAATTGGAGTGGAATACAGCTGGCATCCAGGAAGGGTCCAAAGTCAAAACCCAGCTTTTCCCAGATGACTCGATGTGAATGTCTGCACTTTTTGTTTACAAAAAGCCCCTCCCCATCCCCTTTCCCTCCTCCCCCAGCACAATTAATTTAGGGAATTTGGTCACAGAGGTCAGAAAATGGAGTGACAGCTAGTGCTTTATATTTTATATCTTGAATGTACGCACATACTAAGTCATTTTTATCTAGAGGAACAGGTATTAGGCAGACCTTATTAACATGAGCTATGGAAAGCACAGCCTTGCCTCTTTTTAATATTAATCAAAGTCTTTCTTCTTTAGCAGTCTATTTTCTTAGAATTAACAGCTTTTTAAGTACTTTGAACTCTTATGACATTATAGTGTTTTTTAAAAAAATTGGATATAAGACAAAGGCACACACTGGAATTTGCAGTTGGGGTTGTCATGAACAGCTGTGGTTAAAAACAGAATGTGAAACCCCAGCCCCCTGAGGAGGTGCCCGTCATCCTGAATTTGACGCTAGCTTTCCTTGAGTGGATTGCAACATTAGTGAAAGGCACCTCCCCTCACCCTTTTAGCCCCCCATAAACTGCCAGTACAGGAGGGCCACGAAGGGGCTCCAGCTCTTCAACGAGAGGCCTGATTGATTTGTTGAAAAGATCTGAGGGTGCTGGCCTCCTCCGAAATGGGACATAAAACTGCCTTACAGGAGACCCCCTAGCTCCAGTAGCAGAGGGACTCCCCAAACCAGGCTGTCCCCTGGGTCAGCTGTGGCTCCAGCCCATGTGGGTTTCTTTCTCTCCTGAGTGTTCACTGTCCATGCCCTGAGGGTTCCACCACTGCCCATCCTGGAGAAAGCAGCTCCCGTCCCCCTGACCTCTGCCTCTCGCTTGGGTGCTGATCAGAGGCCATCATAGGAACCGTCCTCAAGGCTGCTCAGAGCTAGGACTTAATTTTTGCCAGTCCAGTGCATTTGATGAGTTTCAGGGCAAAGACTGGCTGCCTATGCTGAGACAAAGTGATTTACCCAGTGAATTCCAGGTTCCCCTTTGTGTCTCTACCTCCAGCAGTGGAGTGGCCACCACTGTGGTTGAGCAGTGCTCCTGAGCTAAACAGAGCCTGGAGTTAGAGCTAAGTCTGGAGGCTGCCAGAGGCAGGGCCGTGGGGAGTGCAGTTGTGAGCCCCTGACATCTTGTACTTCACCACGCCCTTACAGAAGCCTCCCTGGCAGCCTAGGCGTGGGGAGCCAGCCTTGGCTCTGGGTCAGAGCAAGAGGGAGCGGGGAGGAGCTCAGACCGCAGGGCAGCAGATCACCCCCAGCATCTTGGGGGTGCTGCCACCGTCCACTGTGTAACCAGGTACTCCTCTGTTGACACAGGGTGACAAGCATTTGGAATGTCTGCTGTTCTGCTCTGTCACCCCCTCCCATCCCCAGTAGATAATCGAGTTGACCCTAATTCCTAGAGTAGTTAAAACTGTGCTCCTCTCCCACCACAGTGCTGTGTGATGGGGATGTGGATACAGTGGGCTCCTAGAAGCCCAAAGAAAGTGGTCATGGTACCAGGTCGTGTCTGTTTTGGCCACGGTGCTTCCAAAACGTCCAGTGGGGAGAATCCTCCACCTCAGACTTCATGTGTCCAGGCCCAAGGTCAAGAATGTATCATTTCTCTGCAAAGATTGTTTGATTTTTGCCACTCCTCCATTTACATGATTGTTTTACTCTGGAAGTTTGTCATCTCAGAGTGTATCATTGTGCTCTCTGAGGAAGGACTTGAATCTGTTTTGTTTGCATCTTTTGTTACTTTTTGGCAGCTGCACTTTATGCTCTTTGCAACTGTTTTAATTATGGGAACCACGTGCCATTGACAAGGTTAAATTTTTCTTAAGAAGCATCTTCACTATTGGTATAAAAAGGGAGCCTTTAACAGCTTGGCTTCTAGAGTTACTGAGCTTTGTCACCTTGAGAATGTAAATAAGACTGCAGGTTCAAGTGCCTGGTCGCTTCATCCTGGTGAGGGAAACAGATGCAATAAAGCTTCATGAATGTACCTCTGTCTTGAAATCAGTGGTGTCTTCCTCAGTGACTTTCACACTCGTGTGCAGTTTTGACCCTTTTGTGCAAAAGAACTGTGTTTGGTCTAGGAACGTGCCCAGATGTTTCTTTATACCTCAGTACCGTGTTGGGTCTTCCAGAGGGGATGGTTTTAACAGGGCCTATGTTACTTGGTTTTCCTCTTTCAATAATGGCAAGTAATGACCTGATAAAAAATCTTATTCTGTCAGGAGGCAGGCACTAGCATGGGGAAGGTTATGGATTTTTTTTTTTTTTTTTAAGTTTTTCTAAGTTCCTCTTTTGCCAGAAAAAATATCCTTCCTTTTTTTAAATCTCCCTGACATTTTCATCTACAGAATTTCAGCTTCTTTACCCAAATGTGCATATTGTTCATTGGCTGCTTTCATATTTTCCTTGTGGAATTAAATAAGAGATCTTCAAGTACCCAGCACAGTGGTAGCAGACTGGTCAGTTTTCTGGGAAACGAAGAATGCTATTTTGGAGTCTTTATTAATTTCACTGGTTGAGTTAGGTGTCTGTGGTTTGACAATACTCTTTAAATTAAAATACTGTCCAAAGCATATAGAGAAGAATCCCATTTTTTAAGAATCCCATACATCTCCTTGGAAAACTGTCTGGAAGGATATACATGAAAACGTAAGTGTTTTAGGGGGTGGTTGAATTTTAGGCAATTTTAATTTTTTTGTATCTTCTGGTTTTTCTACAATAAACATGCATTAACTGTGTACTCTCTAAAAGGATCATTTTCCTGCAGAATTTTATGGTGCTTGGGTGAGGTATAACTGTCTTTTATTCCCTCAGATCCCCTCTCTAGTAGAATGTGGCCTGGCTCCACACCTATCTTGGTCCTCAGGCGACGGAGGCTGCTCTCAGCCACAGTCCACACTGGACACCTCACCATCTGTGTTTCGGACGGAACGGGCCGCCCTGGGTGAGCGCAGCCTCGGTGGCATCCGGGGGCAGGTCTGAACGCCTGTGGCCTCAGGAGGCTGCCCGCCGCGGCGTCAGCTCAGGACCCAGGCCTCCACCTCACTGATGCAGAACTGCTCCTGCCGGGCCAGCACCTCATTGTTGAAGGTCGCACAGGGGTGGCTCCCCCCGCGGTACAAGTCTCCATCCAACCACAGCCCAAAGCGGCCACTAAAGAGAGGAGAGTCTTGGCACTGTCCCTCCAGCACCCTTCAGACCTGCCCCAGCAGCCCTTGGCCACGCCATGACTGCTCTGCCTTAGTCTCATCTCCTCTGAAACCAGTTTGTCCCAAATTGTTAAGGACTCACACATTGCCCCTCACAGGGTTTCAAGCTTTTTTTTTGTTTGTTTGTTTTACAGTACAATGATTTTGATAAATATATACAGTGGAGCAGCCATCACCACAGACCAGTTTTAGAACCTTCAGAACATTAAGATGGCAATGCCTTAGCCAAAGGAGGGACTCTCATAAGCTTTGACTCCAAGCCCAGAATACATCAGACCAGGGCATCCATTCTAGTTCCCTCTTTTGACAGCAAACCTAGGCTAGAGCTGGGAAGTGGGTTATTGCAAATTGGCAGTGGCTGGTGGGGTCTGTGTCAGTCTGCCTCTCTGTGGAGGCTATTCAGGCAGCTGGGAGAGCAAAGAACTTGCCTGGTGCTAATCAAGCACCAGGCATCTGGTGCCCTCAGGATAAGACTGACTATCCCTGAATATGCAGGTCACACCAGAGGCGAGACTGACCTTGTAAAACACTCCACTTCCCACCCCCAACACACACCAGGTTCTGGGCAGATGTCTGCCTTCCTCCAGTGAGTTCTGTTCCCTATGTTTATGGAGCTGACTGACAGGTAGATTTGGGGTTTGACTTTAGCCTCATCCAACCATATGGAGTGCTGTTCTCAAAGTTACATAAATTCAGCCTAAACTGTCACCAACTAAACACTTTAGGGGAGACGTCATGCCATCCTCTCCTCTCAGTATCAACTTAGAGCAGAGTTTAGGGGGTTGGCTGGGGGCCAGGCAGTGCCACAACACCTATTGAGGGGAGATTCTTGAAGGTTAACTAGCAGCCTCCCCCATTTTGTCTGGGGTAGCCTAATCCAGCATTTCCAGACAGGGGAAAGGACCAGAATACAGACCACCTCGAGACTCGAGACTGGGGAAGACTAGGACACGCACCTGCCACAGCCCATCATCAGAGAATCCAAGTCGCCTTTCACAAAGAAAGAGTTGCTTCCTGTCCACTTGAAGACCTGCGATAAGAAACCTCCAGTTATTGACGGAGTCCTGCTCCTGCAGTTTTACTCTGGACCACTGGGTGGCAGTGTGGTGAAGGAAACAAACTCCAATCCCCAACTAAGGCACTGGCGCTACCCTTGGCTCCTAACTCCTGCAGTTTCTCTCAGTCTCCCTGGAGTTCACCTCCTCTTGCCCTCCAGTCTTAATTCCCACAGCCCAAAAGCCCTTCTGTTCTAGGAATAGACCAGAACCCTCTGAGGCTTCCTGCTTCCGAAGCTGGAGAGAAGAGGGGGAAAGTCCACATCAGGAGCCAGGCCATGATTCTACTATTAACTGCTTCCTCCTCTCACTGGAGTTAACACAGCTTGCACAGCCCCGGTGCTATTTCACACCCAACAAGTTGCAAGCCCCACCCCAAAGAGACACCCTGACTACCACCAGTTCTGTCCCCGCCAGTCACTCCTTCCTGGATCACAGCCTCCTGATGGGTCTCTGCTTCCTCTGTCTCCTGCCCCGAAGCCCACGTCTGCTCTGCAGTCAGTGAGCTATTCAAAACTAAATCGGGGACTCCCCTGGGGGGTTCAGCGGTATAGAATCCACCTGCCAATGCAGGGGACACGGGTTCAATCCCTGATCCGGGAAAATCCTACATGCTGTGGGCAACTAAGCACCTGGAGCCGGTGTTCCCCAACAAGAGAAGCCTGTGCACCACAAAGGCTTACTGCAAGTAGAGAAAGCCTGCGTGCAGCAACAAAGAGTGAGCATAGCCAAAAATTAATTATTTTAAAAAATCAAATTGGATATTAGCCCTCCTCTGCTAAAGCTCTCCAATGGCCCTGACAATGGGAATAAAATTCAGCATCTAACAAAAGCCGAAAGCCCAGCATGCTCTGCCCTGATTTTCTCTCCAACCTCTCCCCCTTTACCGCCTGCACTTCGTCTACACTGACCCTTTTGACCCGGGACACCTGAAGCTATTGCTGCTGCAGGGTCTTGCTGACCCCTCTGCCCAGAATGCTCTTCCCCCAGATCCTCAGAAGGCTCACTTCTCAGCTTTTGGATGAAATGTCATCCCAGAGAAATTTAAAGTAGCCCTTCCTTCCAGGCCCTGTTCAAGTGACAATATGCCCTGCTAACATGTAAGTTCCATGAAGGCTATCTTGATTCTGGCAATATTCCCGAGACATGGTGTAGATGTTTGTTAAGTGAACAAATTATTCAGGAGTCAATTTAGGACTTCCCTGGTGGTCCAAAAGTTAAGGATCCGCCTGCCAACACAGGGGAAACAGATTCGATCCCTGGTCCAATAAGATCTCACATGCCACAGAGTAATTAAGCCCACACACCGCAACTACTGAAGCCTGCTCTAGAGCCTGTGCTCAGCAACAAGAGAAATCACTGCAATGGGAGCCTGAGCACTGCAACTCAAATGCAACTAGAGAGTAGGCCCCGCCCGCTGCACCTGGAGAAAGCCTGAGTGCAGCAATGAAGACCTAGCACAGCCAAAAATAAATAGAAAACTATTTTTTAAAAGTTTAGCTAATAAAAAGATTTTTAAAGGGCTGCAAAAGTATAGCCTATGATTGCCTGTAATTGGTTGCAAAAAATTCTCTGAGCAACCAAAGGGTTTTTAGCAAGAAAATGGACTAATCAAAGATAAGACCTGGGCTCAGAAGAGATGAGATAATATTAACAAGTGACCACGAGAAGACAGAACCATGCAACTCCTCCTCTACTTTCCTCAAGGAACGTGACCTTCAGACTTGCAGGAGGAGATAAACACTGCTACAGAAAAAATTAAGTAGATGTTCATGGTGCTTCTTGGAATGAGGGTCAAGGAACTGCTGGGAATTCATGAAGAATGCAGATGCCAGAAGACCAAAGACAGACAAAAATTAACCAATTTTTTGAAAAGATGAGATTCCATAATAATAGCCTGGGAAGACTATAGCAATTGCTTGAAAAGAAAAAAATCATCCCATTCAAGAGTTTGTTTTGTTTTATTTTTTGCATTTAGTACAAGGCACTGTTTTAGGTACTGGATAGACCAGTGATGTAACAGACAAAAATTCCTGCCCCCTAGGACTCCCACTCTAGTGGCAGGAGGCAGGTAAATAAGTAAAATAAATAGTGTGTTAGCTGTGACAAATGCTTAGGAGGAAGAAGTAAAGAAGGGCAATAAGAGTTTCCAGCGGCTGGAGTGCTGTAAACAGCAGGGAGGGTCCTGCTGAGAGGGTGACATCTGAGCAGAGTCCTGAAGGAAGTGAGAACTTGACTCATATGGAGATCCTGTGAAGGGAACCTTAGGGAGAACAGCATGTTTAAAGGCCCTGAAGTAGGAACAAGCTTGCTTGTTTAGGAACAAGCTCCGAGGTCAGTGTAGGGAGAGGGGAAATAGCAAGAAATGACTTCAGAGAGAGTCCAGAAGATGCAGACTTGTAGGTTATTTTAAGGACTCTGGGGATTTGTCTGGTGGTCCAGAGGTTAAGAATCTGACTGCCGATGCAGGGGATGTGAGTTCATTCCCTGGTGGGGGCGCTAAGACCCCACATGCCTCGGTGCAACTACTGAGCCTGTGTCGCAACTACAGAGAAGCCTGTGCACCACAGTGAAAGATCACACGTGTCACAACTAAGACCTGATACAGCCAAATAAATAAATAAAAACATATTCTGAAAAAAGACTTTGGCTTTTCTCTTAGGGAGAAAGGAAGCCATTGGTAGCTTGGAGCCAAGAAGTGATATGTTCTGACTTCATTTATTTTAAATATTTATTTGGCTGTGGCTCGGCTGAATCTTAGTTGCATCACACGGGATCTTCAGTTGTGGTATGTGAGATCTAGTTCCCTGACCAAGGATCGAACCTGGGTCCCCTGCAGTGGGAGCTCAGAGTCTTAGCCACTGGGCCACCAGGGAAGTCCTTGACTTACCTTTTAAAAGGCTCCCTCCAGGTACTGTGATGACTGAAGGTGGAAGCATTAGGAGGCTATAGCAGGGACACGGGCAAGTAGTGATGGTGGCTTGGACCAGGGTGACAGCAGAAGACATTGTGAGAAGTGGTAGATTTTGGGTAGAGATGGAGGAGGAAGAACCATCAGGATTCGTTGACAGCTCATCAGATGTAGGGTGTGAAAGAAGCATTACGAAGGGCTCCAAAATTTTGGTCTCAACGGCAGGAAAGACAGAGGTGCCATTCACTTTGTCAGGGAAGATGGCAGGAGGGACCAACTTTCTGGGAGAAAGTCAGATCAGCTTGGCAAAACCCCAGTCGTGGTTGGACCCTCCCATCCACGCTGTCTGTGCTTGAACCTGACGAGCTGAGAGTTGCTAGAGGAAAGGAACACACAACACAGGAACCGGCCCCGGGACTTCCGTGGTGGCCCGGTGGTTAAGAATCCTCCTTGCAGTGCAGCAGATATGAGTTCTATCCCTAATCGGGGAACTAAGATCCCACCTACCACTGGGCAACTAAGCCCGTGTCCCACAACACTGAGCCTGCCCGCCCTAGAGCCTGTGCTCCAAAATAAGAGAAGCCGCCACGATGAGAAACCCAAGCACCCAGGCTAGAGAGTGGCCCCTGCTAAGCCACCACTAGAGAAAGCCTCACACAGCAATGAAGACCCAGTGCTGTCATAAATAAATACAAATTCTTGAAAAGACCAAAAAAAAAAAAAAGCATCACCTTCAGTTGTGGAGAGAAGGAGAAGAGGAAGGTCTCGCCAGTACCGTAGAAGCCTTTGCTGAGTCGAAGGGCCGAGGAGGAAAAGGCGCCAAACATCTCGAAGGAAGAGTTTGTAGTTTGCAGCTGGAAGGGAGCTGGAGATCCCCTTCAGGCTGGGGAGTCTGGGGCAGAGCTAGGGGACAGAGGGGCCCCCGGGGGCCCATCAGCCCTTAGTGGCAGCCCTCCCCCCAGCACCCCCAGCACAGCTCACCTGGCCGTCCTGGTCTCTCAGCACCAGCAGCACCGGCCCACTGTGGCCCTCCATCTGCCTGTACAGGCTCCGCAGACTGAAGCCGTCCCTCGACGTGCAGAAGGCCAGCCTCCAGGAGTATCCAGTGACTCTCGGGGGCAGGTGGAGACTGAGCTGGGGACAGAGCAGAGGGTGAGCGAGGGCTCCCAGTCTCCCCACCCTCCTTGCTCTGTATTCTTGGGGTCCCAGGAGGACTAAGGTTAAACAGCCACCCCTCATCCAAGCCTGTGCTTTACAGGTTCAGTTCAGTTCAGTCGCTCAGTCGTGTCCAACTCTTTGCGACCCCATGGACTGCAGCACGACAAGCCTTCCTATCCATCACCAAATCCCGGAGTTTACTCAAACTCATGTCCATAGAGTCGGTGATGCCATCCAACCATCTCGTCCTCTGTTGTCCCCTTCTCCTGCCTTCAATCTTGCCCAGCATCAGGGTTTTTTCCAGTGAGTCAGCTCTTCACATCAGGTGGCCAAAATATTGGAGCTTCAGCTTCAGCATCAGTCCTTCCAATGAATATTCAGGGTTGATTTCCTTTAGGATTGACTGGTAGGATCTCCTTGCGGTCCCAGGGACTCTCAGGAGTTTTCTCCAACACCACAGTTCAAAAGCATCCATTCTTCGGTGCTCAGCTTTCTTTACAGTCCAACTCTCACATCCATACATGACTACTGGAAAAACCATAGCTTTGACTAGACGGACCTTTGTCAGGAAAACTTTACAAGTCACAGAGCACTTTCATGTTTCCAGGGGGCACCATGGAAACAGCAATGAGCAGAAGCCCTCAGAGAAAGGGATTACTGTTCCCATTTTATAGATGAGGAAGCTGAGGCTTAAGGAGATGAAGCAACTTGCCTGAAGCCCCCATGGGGAGGAAGTGGCAGAGCCAGGATTTGAACCCAGATCAGGCCCATCATGGCCCCTAGCAACCAGAGAATAGATGAGATACCGACTGTCTCCTCCTAACTCCCCATCTCATCCTTTCATTCCCACCCCAGCTTTGGCCTCAGTTCCCAAGGACTGGTTCCGTTTAAAGAGTCATATTAGTTCACCATATCCTTAACCTCCTGGCGCCATGAAGAAGGTGGTGCTAGGATTACTGACTCATTTTACCAGAAAAGCCCCGTGAGGAGAAGTGAGTTGCCCAAGGTGACACAGTGAGCAGAGGACGGAGCAGGAGGGACCCCAGGCGTCCCTGGGCCTGGCTGGGGTGGGGCAGGACTGAAGGCTTTGTACCATGGACTGTGCCCGAACCTGACTCATCTCCGAGGCTCCCAGAACCTGGCTGGCTCCTGCCAGCTGGGGCGCCACGGGGCATTCAGGAACCGGAGCTGGGGCTGGGGTTGTCTCCTCCTCCTTTTCCTCCTCCTCTTCCTTGTCCTCCTCCCCAGACAGAGCATCCTCCACCTGGCTGGGCTGTAAAGACACACAGAGGCCTGGTGAGTTGAGAGACAAGGAGACACGAGCTTCCACACATCCAGGGCCTGAGAGCCTTAGCCACCTTATCACCCCTGCCCGGGCCCCTGCCAGTCCAGCCGGAGGAGGCTGTGAAGTGTCCACAACAGGCCAGACCCTGTCCTTCCCGCCAGCCAACTCCCTCCCTGGCCCCTTCCAACTACACCCACCGGATGTGGCCTTGAGCCCCTGAGGTTTTGTCTGCCTGGTTGCTCTGGATCCAGAGTGGATGCCAGGGATTGTGTTCTAAGCTTGGGAGGCAGGAGAGAAGGACAGGCAGCAGCTCCCAAACTGTGTGCATTTGTACATGAAATAACAATAATAATAATACAATAGTGGCTGAATATATAGTAAACAGGACACACTTGACTCGGCCTGTGTGAAATGCTTGGTGAGCATAATCTCTGAATTTTCCCAAGAATCCTAAGAAGAATGTGCTCCTTTTTTTTTTTTTTTTGGCTGTGCCACAAGGTTTGCAGGATCTCAGTTCCCCAACCAGGGGTTGATCCTGGACCCTCCACAGTGAAAGCATGAAGTCCTAACCACTGGACCACCAGGGAACTCTCCAGAGTAGGCTTTTTATTACCCCCATGTTATTACCCCAAAGGAAGAAAGAAGGCCTTTTGAGGTGGTGAAATGTTTCTCATGGGTGAGACAGTGCACAGGTTCATATAAAATGTGCATTTAGGGCTTCCCTGGTAGCTCAGTGGATAAGAATCCACCTGCCAATGCAGGAGACACGAGTTTGATCCCCGGCCCAGGAAAATCACACATGTCGAGGAGCAGCTAAGCCTGTGCGCCAAGACTACCAAGTCTGTGCTCTAGCACCCGGGAGCCACAGCTGCTGAGCCCGTGTGCTGCAACTACTGAAGCCTGTGTGCCCTAGAGCCCGTGCTCCGCAGCAAGAGAAGCCAGTGCAATGAGAAGCCTGTGCACCACAACCGGAAAGTAGCCTCTGTTTGCCACAACTAGAGAAAAGCCTGTGCAGCAACAAAAACCCAGCATAGCCAAAAATAAAAGTAAATAATAAATGCCTCGATAAAAAAAAATGCACATTTGTGTGAAGGTGTGTGATGTGTTGGCTTAAAATAGAGTTGTGTAGGCAAGTCAGTGTGAGGTGTTGAATGCAACTTTGTATGTTACCTTTCAATATGTGGGTGGGTATGAGCTGGGATTGTGTTATATGTGAGTGTCAGTGGGCATGTATGTTAGTGTGTTCATTCATTCATTCATTTAATCACTGAGCTGCCTCTCTGTACCAGAGCGTGTGTGTGTGTGTGTGTGTGTGTGTGTGTGTGTGTGTGTGCGCACATGCACATGCACACACACGCACGCGTGCACATGATGTCTGCACACAAGGACTTTGGGGCTTTTCATCAGGAGAGATCTCTTTGGGGAGAAGAGATGGACAGGACACTGCTTTCCTATTCTCCAGGTTCAGGCCTACAGAGGGAGTCCTAACTGGACAGGCTTCTGGACCGAGCTCCATCTGGCACCCACTCCATGCTCCTTGAGGGTCCCAGAACCACAGGGCTGGGCGCTAAGGCCCCAGGTTCCTGAATCCTTGCTTTGAACCCTGGGTCAGCTGGGGAGGGCCTCGGAAGGGGGACACCCAGCTGTATGCACCCTGGCCCATGTCCCACCCAGCCAGAGATCTCGCCTCCCCCGCCTTTCCTGACCGACCCCCAGCCCCAGCCCCAGCCCCAGCTGGGCCTCTTACCAGTCGAGTGTAACGCCAGCGGAGACTTTTCATTCTTCTGTCCGGAGCTCAGCCAGGGGCAGTAAGTAAGCCTTCAGTCCTGCCAGGGAGGAGGCAGCGCTGGGTGAGACCTGGAGATGAGAAGGAGGGGCCTGGGGCACACCTGGCTGGCTCCACGCCCACCCAGCTGCCCTTTGCTCTCTCACCTGTCACTTACCTGTCACTCCCAGGCCAGCTTGTCCCTGAGTGAGTCTGTGAGGTCAGCTGTGCTCGGCATTCAGGGCCATACTTGTAGTTAGCAACTAATGCAGGTTAGCCATAAATTCTAGTTGTAATTCAGGCCCATAGACTGTAACATTTGCGCAGCTGCCTGAACCCCAAACTGGGGATCTGGGGCCTCTACTTCCCTTTATGATCTTGCATAAGTGCTATGCCCTATGCACTTATGTGGGCCTCAGTTTCCCCACATGTGACATGTTGGACCAGGTTGTCTCAGAGGCCCTCACAAGACTGACAGCATGCAATTCAGTTTTCTCTCAAAGCCATTATAACAGAAGCTTGAAAAGGGCCAAGCTAGACCAAAAGAACAGATTTTTTTGTAAAAAAAAATACTCATTTTTCTAATTAAATGAGCAATACATATTTACTATAGGAAATTTGAGAAATTTAAAAAAGAATAAAGAAAAATACAAAAATATTCATAATTCCACCTCTCAGAAATAAACTCTCAACCCCTACAGGTTTATTTTTCCATCTTTTATAATTTCACATATATGTCTATACATACATTTATGAGTAGATCATACAGTGTGTTGCTTTATAAGGTGCTTTGTCAAGCTTAACAAAAGAAAAATTTCCAATTACATTCATTACCCTTTGAGCATGTGATTTTTTTTTTAATGTATTTATTTATTTTGGCTGTGCTGGGCTTTGGTTTCAGCACACGGGATCTTTTTTTGTTTATTTCATGTGGGCTCTAGTTCCCTGACCAGGGATTAAACATGGGCCCCCCGCATTGGGAGCGTGAAGTCTTAGCCACTGGACCACCACAAAAGTCCCTTGAACATGTGATTTTTAATGGCTGCATATTATTTCACCACAGGATGTACATCATTTCTCAAAATGTTTGACATTCTGTTTGCTTATAATTTTCTGTGATTATAAACAAAACTATAATAAACTTCCTTGTTCATAAATCTGATTATATTTTTTATGATAAATTTCAGAAGTTGAATAATGGATCAAAGGGTGTTCACACATTCTTTTCCAACTGTTTCCAATGAGGCTTCCCAGAGCTTAAGGCTGACCAATGTCTGGATATCTTTCAGGAATCTCAAGGTAATATCTTTCTGATCATTGTGTTTTATGGCCTTAAATTACAGACAAAGAAACTACCACTCAGAAAGTTGAAGAAGGAACTAACCACAGCCACAGAATAATATAACACAGTAAAAAGAGCACAGACTCTGGAGTCAGGGAGTCTAAATCCTGTGTGACCTTGGGCAAGTTACTTAACATCTCTGTTCTTCTATCTCCTTGTCTGTAAAATACTAATACCTATTTACCTGATAGGGCTGTTGTAAAAATAAATGAAGGTAATGCCTGAAGGGGTGACTCACTGGAAAAGACCCTGATACTGGGAAAAATAGAGGGCAGGAGGAGAAGGGGGCGACAGAGGGTGAGATGGTTGGATGGTATCACCGACACAATGGACGTGAGTTTGAGCAAACTCCGAGAGATAGGGAAGGACAGGGAAGCCTGGCGTGCTGCAGTCCATGGGGTTGCAAAGAGTTGACATGACTGAGTGACTGGACCATGCCTGAAGAACTAGGAGGCTGAGCCAGGTCTCCATCCTCCTGTTCTGAGTTCAGTGTGATAACACATAGTGCCTGGTATTTGGTGAAAAAGTGAAAGTGTTAGTCCCTCAGTCCTGTCTGACTCTTTGCAACCCCACGGACTGCAGCCCGCCAGGCTCCTCTGTCCGTGGGATTCTCTGGGCAAGAATCCTGGAGTGGGTTGCCATTTCCTTCAGGGGATCTTCCCAGCCCAGGGATCAAACCTGGGTCTCCTGCATTGCAGGCAGATTCTTTACCATCTGAGCCACCACGAGTGCTAGATAAGTGGCGGTGCTTAAGGCCATCCCCCCACACTGCCTCTTTGGGAGATTCAGGGCTCAAATCACTGACAAATGGCCACTCAGCCTCCACCTGAGCACCTCAGGGACAGTCACTTGGTCACTTGTGGGGGTAGGTAGCTCAGTGGGGCAGGGAAGGTCAGGAATGTACTCACTTTGCCAAGTGTCGACCTCTGGTGACCTCTTCCAGCTTGTCCAGCCTGATGGCTTCCCTAGTGCATCTCCGGGATCCCACAGAGAAGGGGCCACTTCCGGAACTGACCCTGTCTACCTGGAGGTCTGTACGAAGCAGATTTAGCTCTGTACCCTGGTTCTGCGGCAGACAGCTGTTACCTCTGCCCCAGCCAGCCTCCAGCCCTCCTCTCCTGGCTCTTATACCTGCCCAGAGGGTGGCATGCCCTGGCCCCGAGCCTGCTCCAGTTTCAGCTGGAAGGACCTGGCTGTGATTATAATCCATCAGAAGCTCAAATCCCACAAACAAGAGCTTGTCACCTCGGGTCTCTGCTCTGCCCCTACCAGCCCAAAGAGGTGGGGTTTACTGAACTCCTGGGCTCTTCCTGGAGCCTCTCACCCACAGCTACTGGGTGCCACGTGGGACCTGAAGCCCATCATCTGAGGCACTTCCCTGATGCCTTGTTGGGATGCAAATGTTGCAGGAAAGGGTCTAGCCATAGGGCCACATCCACCTCCCTGTGCTTCAGGGGAAACCTGGGGCTTGGGGGATGAGGAGAGGTCCCCTTGCTCTGGTACTGTTTCCCTTCTCTCACACGGGGAGGTGATTCTTATTGGCCTGTCGTGCCGTGGGGTGAGGTTACACACAGGAAGCCCAGCATCTGGCACACAGTAGGCACGCTCTCGATTTGGGTGGTTCTCTGTCCCAGGCTCATAGTGGGACTTCCCTGAATGCTGCTGTTGAAACACAGAACCTCAAAGCTGGAAGGGGTTTCAGCCCGACCCAGACCAAGTGACCTCCAGCCAGGACAGGCAGTCATGAAAAAATATGCCCAGCAAGGGACCCCCAGCCTGTTTGGGGTGGGTGAGCCCACGTCCTTGGGTGATTCACACCCTCGGACGGGCCAGCTGCCTGCTGGGGGACCACGGTACAGAACTACAACTGTTTCACACAGACCTCCAAGTGAACAGGGTCAGTTCTGGAAGTGGCCCCTTTTCTTCAGGATCTAGGAAATGTGGGGTGGGGGCGGCTCCAAAAGACCCCTTCCTGCTGGCCTTGGTGGAAAGGACTTGGGTCCCCAGATCCTTTCTCCATGGCCAGGTCTCCTGGGGCAACGCCCCAACCAGGAAGATAGGATACTGAAAGGACTTGTATTAATATTATGGGGAAAAACATTCAAGTGATGGGCCCTGTTGCCACCTCAAACAAGGCTGTTGCAATACGTGTTTGAACTGTTAACAGCCTGGGGGGTCACATGTCTGGCCCTCCTGCTTTCATGGCCCCACCCCCAACTCTTTTTCCTCCACACTCGATTCCTGAACCTTTGGGCACTTTGGGAGGCCAGTGAGATGTGCCTTGCTGTCCCATTCTTTGTTCTTAAGTCTAGAAATGTGACCTGGCAAGAAAGCTAATTGCCATGTAGTGTGTTTAGTCATGTCTGACTCTGCGATCCCGTGGATTGTAGCCCACCAGGCTCCTCTCTCTTGTGGAATTCTCCAGGCAAGAATACTGGAGTGGGTAGCCATTCCCTTCTCTGGGGAATCTTCCTGACCCAGGGATGGAACCTGGGTCTCCCACATTGCAGGCAGATTCTTTACCATCTGTGCCACCTGGAAGCCCAAATCCCATGTAATTGGCTTCTGAAAAGCTTCCACGATCAGATTCTAGATGCCAGAGGGTTGAATGTCCCAGCACTGCCTTGCAGTCTGCTTTCTCCTTTCTCCACCAGACCACATGCCACCTCTTTTAGCACTGCAACAGTCATAGCCAGGAAACAATTTCAATGTCCAGTAAAAGGGGAAAAGGTTAATTGACCTATGGAACATCCACTCTGTGGATTATTTCTAAGAATTAAAAGCAGTGTTTGCCAAGAGTTCATAAATGCACAGGAAGATGCTTCTGCTACTCTGTAAAGTGAAAAAAGCAGATATAAAATGAGATGTGCGGCACAGTCACTGCTATGCAAAATAAACCCAAAGACATTAGGAGAAAAGGGAGAGAACACACCTGGTGGCTTGCTGGGCTGACTGGCTTCACTCTGAGCTGTGGATGGGTGCATGATGTACCCCCTCATGCATCCTGGGAGCTCTGGTCTCCATGCTCTGGCCCCTGTTATGGACCGTCTTCACCCTCCTCACACACAATTGCCACTCCTTCAGCTCCTCACTCTCAGATGGTGACTTTGTTCCTCTTTGAGAAAATGGGAGCCGTCAGTCCCTCCCTCACTCTTCCGACAGACCCACCTGCATCTCACGCCTCTCTTCTGCCTTCCTTCTGGGACAATGAAGGAACAGCCTCTGTTCCTTTCGGAAGCCAGTCCCTGGGGTCCCCCTAGATTTGTCACTCTCCACTTTTCTCTGCCTCATCCATCTCTCGCTTGCCCTTACCTCTCAACGTGACCATCCCCTCCACGATGGCTCCATCCTCTTCTTCCTCCACTCCACCTCTACCTCCTCATCACTATTCAATCCCCCGCCTTTGACATCTGTCCTGACCACCCCTGCTCTTGTCAAGGTCCCCAGCAGCCTCCGTGTCACTCTAGGCCGGGGGTGGGGGGGCGTTCACTTTTCTGCTCTCATCTTCCTCCAGCCCCTCTGCTATTTGACAGAGCGATTCTCCTTCTCTTACATTTATTCCTTTACTGGCAGCTCCCCACCCCTCTATCTTTTGTGGCTGGTGTCTCCTCTCTTACCCACTTTTTAGGACCAGGAATTCTTTTATAATTTTCTACTTTATTAAGGAAATGATATATGGATATAGCTTTATTTAATAAGATTCGAACAATTAATGATAGATGTTCTGGAAGCAATTGTTGAAGACCCCTTTCATCCTGTCCTCTCCCAATCCCATCCACACTTGGAGGGAACAACTACCAATTTTTTTTTCATTTAAAAATTTTACTTTTTATTTTAAATTGAAGTATACTTGTTGTACAACATTATATAAGTTACAGGTGTACATGATAATGACTCACAATTTTTAAAGGTTATACTCCATTTATGCTTATTATAAAACAGTAGCTATAGTCCCTGTGTTGTACAATAAGTCCTTGTTGCTTTATTATTATTATTATTTTGGGAGGTATGTGCCACATGGCTTGCAGAATCTTAGTTCCCCAACCAAGAATTGAACCTCGGGTCACAGCAGTGAAAACCTGGAATCCTAACCACTAGGCCACAAGAGAACTCCCACTTGTAGCTTATTTTCTACAAGACAATTTGTACCTCTTACTCCCCTTCCTTCTCCCCACTGGTAACCACTAGTTTGTTCTCTGTATCTGTGATAGAACCAGGGATTCCTAACATCCTGGTTCTAGGGCAGTTTTTCTTCTCTCTATAGACCCTATCTGGTCTCATGGATTTAAATATTATCTAAATGCTAATAACCTTTCATGACTCCAGACCACATGCTACCCTGAGCTCCACACTCATAGATCCGTTGCCTATATACCTTGAAAGTCTCCAAAGACATCTCAAACTGATCAGACCCAGAAAGAACTCTCAGTCTCCATCTCCAAACCTGGTCTCTCCACCCGCAATCACCTCCAAGCTGTTTTCCCTGTCTCGTTAAACCACACCACCACTCGTCCTGTAACGAAAGCCAGAAACCTGGGAGCTGAACTTCATTTCTCTGATCCCTCACCTCCATCCACGGGTGTCTAACTCTTCAAAGTTCCAGAAGTGATCTCAGGAGCATTCCTCTTCTTCCCTCTCTACTGCCTCCACCCTCATCCCAGCCACCGTTACCCCTCAGAGGCTGGTCCAACAGCTCCATGCCCCATCTTCCAGCAGCTTCTTGCCATCAGCTAGAGTGATCTATTTAAAACACAGGTTACATCTCACCCTGGCTTACTCTAAAGTCTCCAGTGGCTTGTCACTGCATCAAGAATAAAGGCCTGCAAGGGCTGCTGTGACTCCCTCTATCCATTCCAGCTCCGTCCATCACCGGTCAAGTGCTGGTCACATGGCCCTTCTCACTTTCTTGAACATCTAGCAGGTAGGTTCTCTCTGCCTGGAATTCTCTTATTCTGGCTCTCTGAATAACTCACTTTAAATGTCACCTCCAAAGAAAGGCCGACCTGACTACCCTTTTTAAAGCAGGCTCCCCTACTAATTCCTCTAACTCTTCTTCAGCCAGTGGTTTGTATAAGGGACAAAAACTTTGGGACTTCCCTGGTGGTTTAATGTTTAAGATTTCACAATTTTTAAAGGTTATACTCCATCTATAGTTATTGTAAAATAGCAGCTATATTCCCTGTGTTGTACAATAAGTCTTTGTAGCTTATTATTATTATTATTATGGGGGTGTGCTGGGGCAGGGTTCCATCCCTCATTGGGGAACTAAGATCCCATCTGCTGCATGGTGTGGCCAAAAAATAAAAGCACTTTTTAAAAAGGAATAAAGATTTCAATTTTTAAAAAAATCACCTCCTCTTGGGAGCCTTCCAGGATTCAGTCTCTATTCAGTTTCCATCATGTTGGTCAATTCAGCTGCTTGAATGGGAGAACATAAACTGGTTTTCCACTGGGTGATCAGCATCTTCATTTCTTACAATATGATTTATTTCTTTTTATTTTTAAATTTTTTTAAAATTTATTTCTTACAATAATTTAATGCTTCATGACTTCTAGAGTAGAGCTTTATACAGCGTGTGTCTGAGCTGAACACTACCGAACAGCGCAGCACAACAGGCTCTAAAGCTAGATGGCCCTGGGTTCAAATCTACCCCAGCCCTGCCACTTCCAAGTTATAGGACCTTGAACAAGCATTCCAGTTATTCATTGCTGCGTAACAAACTACCCCCAAAATTAGTGTCTCAGAACAACAATATTTATTTTACAGTTTGGGACAGCTCATTTCCGCTCTGCTTGGCATCAGCTGGCGCTCCAAGGTTGGAAGCTTGTCATCTGAAAATTCCTTCTCTCACGTGTCCAGGTCTTAGTGGGGACCAGAGCTGGCATTGTTGACTGGAGCACCTTCATGTGGCCTCTCCCATGAGGCCTCGCTTCCTCCCAACATGGTGGCTGGGATCCAAGGGAAAGTGGATTGAGGGAGAGAGAGACTCAGAAAAACAGAGGCAGAGAGAGACTGAGCTGTTGGTCATATTGCCTTTTATGACCTAGTTTGGAAGTCACACTGTCACTTCTGCCGTTCTCTGTTGGCTGA